GTTGTGTTTCCTGAAAGAATGGTTTCTGTTTTCATTCCTACGGAAGCTGAATTTTTAACATTCCCTACCCACATGTGCCCAAGGTTGTAAGTGAAAAACTGAACCACCCCACTATTGATTCTGTTGCTCTGATTCTCAAATTCATGTATGCTGGCTGTAGGAATGAAAAAAAACATCATATTTTGGCATTGGCTCAGAGTATTACCTCATTGTAAGAACTTTGAAAGCTCCCCCTGGTAACCTTTCATTCTGGCTTTATAACTTTTATTACTATATAATTTATTATCCAAACCAGAGATTCTAAGAGAAAAATGAAGCCTTATTAATATTTATACCAGAACAACAGGCAAATACCAAAAATGTCCTAGGTCACCAGCAAAGTATGATTGCCCTTTAATAAAAGAAAAGCCTTAAAAGGACATACCACTACTCTGGAAGACCAGTGAATTCCATGCATATCAGTCCTCTGCCTTCTGAGTTCCTTGGTCAGAAGCAATCTTGTCGGTATAACATGACAAAATGTGTGACACTCTGGGTGACTCTGTCTAGTGATAATGGCAGAAGCTACACAGAGAAGGCAGACCCAAACCTCAGACATGTCACAGGTAGAAGGAATCACAGTCCCATCCTTAGTAAAATCAGCCACCTGTGGGAGGATTAAGATTCTTTGCTGCTGTTGGCAAATTTGATGTTTGGTAGTGTCCAGATCAGCCTGGGTAAGGGAAAATGCAGGTCCATGAAGCACCATTGGCGCCATGGCCACACTGTTCATGAATCCACTTGGGTGGCTAGGGAAACAGTTGACAAAGAGCCCCCCCTCTAGTAATAGACATTAAAGTGACATCCAAATAATACTCTAGTATCTCGTTCTAAGAAGCCCATCTGCATACTTCCCCTAAACTTTCTTCCCACTAGTTCTGATCATGTATCTAACATTTAGCCCCCATCTGTCATTATGCTGTAGGCCATTTATCCTCTAAGGAAAAGTGGGGAAACATATCCTACGTGAAGTGATATACATTGGGAGGCCTATTCTCCTCCACTGTTCATGAACAGAGTCACACTCATCCACATCTGAATTCAGAGCAATCTGTAAATCTCATATTTTTTTCTTTACAGCCAATAAAGACACAAAGATCTCCCCATGTCTAGGCAAATGGACGCTCTCAATCAACTATTAAATGTATGTCCTCCCAAGGTCATTTTTGCACCTATCACTTTGCACTTCAGAGTGCTGCTGATCACTTCTGAATTTACAGAGTTAGAGGTAACACTCTACTAATAATAGGCAGCTGAGGTTTCATGGTTACCGGTACTGTGGGTCAGGTCAGAAGAGCCAATCTTAGCACTGTTTGAATCATCTGGAGCATGTGGAGAGGCTCTCTTTGCCCAGATCCCACTCTAGTAGGCTTTCAGGTCCTTCTGAAAATTGAGGAAAGTACTTCAGAATATAGTAGATGTTATCTCCAGAATGTAAAGTAGACAAAATTAAAACAACAATAGCAGCCATAACAGAACTTTCATCTAGAAGAGAGCACAAGGAACAACTTGTCTTTTCTATCAAAGACATATAGTGTGCCCCACATGTGTGGAGCTTGTCTGCCTTATCTTACTGAAGCATCTGCAAAGTGTACTACCACCTGCTCTCAGATCTTATATCATCAGTTCTAATGAGGCGACACAATGTCCTACAAGATGAATGCAAAAGCAAGCTGCCTGGCAACAGGCCATAGAGTGGATGGAACCCTGGGGACAACAAACTTGTTTCTAGTTCTTTTCTGACTATAGGGTTAGTGGAGCAGTGAGGAAGGAAATATTTTATCAAAGAATGTCTGCTTATTAGATACCTGTCAGTGGTGCGACGATCTTGGAAAGAGCCTCTACTGGGCTCTCAGTCTTCTGATGTTTTGGTTGTTAGCCTTAGCCTTTAACAGCTGCGCTATTCCTCCAACCCCAGTATTCTGAATAGTAAGTCTGATCAGTTAAAGAGAGACAATCTATAGAGACAGTTCAGCTGTTAAGAGCACTTACTGCTCTTGCAGAAGACCTGGGTTTGGTTTCCAGCACCGACATGGCAGCTAACAACTGTAACTCTAGTTCCAGGGGATTCAACACCTTCTTCTGGCCTCTGAGGGCACTGCTTGGCATGGGTGCACTTACATAGAAGGAGGCAAAACATTCATATACATAAAAATAAATAAAATAATTTTAAAATTGCATTACTAAAAGAGAGGGGGAGAAAAGAGAGAGAGAGAGAGAGAGAGAGAGAGAGAGAGAGAGAGAACTGGCTATTCTTCCAGAGGACTCAGATTTGGTTCCCAGAACCCACATAATGGCTAACAACTGTCACTCCAGTTGCAGGGGATCCAGTGCCCTCTTCTGATCTCTGTGGGCACTGTACTATGCAAGTGACATATACATTCAGGCAGTGCACTCACACACATAAAAGAAAAATAACAAAGTTTTTAAAAAAGAATAAGTAAGTCTACATCCAACACCTGTCTTCCACAGGCACACATCTGACCAATGGACTGCACAGGCTCCTGGTACCTTCAGGGGACTAGTGTTAGCTCATAGCCAGAGTCAAAATAAAAAATTTAAGTTTCGTGCATTCCTACTCTCCCAGTGCACAGTTAGGCTGAAGAAAATTTGGAAGAAGTCTTTAGAGTAGGTACCTGAATTGTTACATTTCTTCCTTCAGGGTTCTCATTATTTTAAAGGGTTCCAGGTATGTCACCAGGTTCAGGTAGCTGGGGAAAAAGGCTAGCCAACAGGGAAGCAGGAAAAGGTATATGACCCTTTGTTATCATGGGTCTTGTCAGGCTTCTGGGCATCAGATTTGGTTTGGTTACAGAAACTAAGTTGAACCTTAGAGAGCTGTCAGTGTTAGTCAGTCAAAGAGGCCCCATAATCAACTGTCCACACCCAAAGATTCATTCAAGTCTAGTCATCTGAAGAGTAATTTAAGGGATGGTGATCTTGCTTCTTTCATCTCTAATTATAAATGTTTGACCTTTGCTTCTCCTCATGGAAACCGAAGAGCCCATTTCAATGGCCTTGTCTCCTTTGAGACCCCACATGGATTCTGAATCTGATGTAACTCTCGGTGCTGTGATGTAACGTTTCTTTCAGCCCCTGTCTGAAGATGGATAACTAGCTCACATCTCATAAATTCACCGCAACAGTTCTCTTTTCCCAGTCTTTATTGCCAACTTGGCAGGCTCTAGAATCACCAGAGACAAGTCTGTGAACTTGTCTGGGGGAGCAGGTGTTTCTTAGATTAAGTTAATTGAGGTGCAAAGACCCTAAAACCTAGGCAGCATGATTTCATGGGCTGGGATCCCTGAGTGCATAAAAAAGAGAAAGTGAGCCGAGCACCGGCTTACAGTGCACTCTGCTTCGTGATTGCGGGTGCCATGTGACCAGGGGCCTCATGCTTCTGCTGCCATGCCCTGCCCGCCATGACAGGTGGCACCCTTCCTTCCTTAAATGTCTTTTATCAGGCATTTGATCATAGCAATGAGAAAAGTAAAACAGATTCGTTCCTGTACAATATAATAAGAGATTTATGACATCTCAATTTTAATTTTGTTTTGAGACAGGGTCTCCCTGTAGTCCCAGCTGGCCTAAGACTTGCTATGTAGACCAGGCTGGCCTCAAACTCACAGAGATCCATCTGCCTCTGCCTCCTGAGTGCTGGGATTAAGGGTGTGTTCTAGCATGCCTAGCCTCAATTTTAATTTAATAGACAAATTTTCTGTGTACTTCCCAACAAAGAAAGAATGTTAAAGTATCCAGCTATAATTAAGGACTTGTCTACTTCTCTTTTTAATTCTATCAGTTTTTGTGTTATGTATTTTGAAACTTTTATTAAGGTAAGTACAAATTTAGGATTATTTTGTCTTTCTTTTAAAGGCAGAGTCTCACTATGTGGTTCAGGCTGGTCTAGAACTCACAATCTTCTTGCCTTAGCCTTCCAAGTTCTAAGATTGCATGTCCTGCAATGCTCAATTTATTACAACTTCTTTAACACTATGTACCCAGTCCTGGGACTACAGGGGTGCACCACCACGCCCGGCTGTAATATCCCTTTTTAATCCCTTCCTTGTTCTGACCACACAAAGCAAAATTCAGAACTAAGCAACTGCCTATTTGTAAATGGTCAGTAATCCCTATCTTTAATATACTGAGAAGCAAATTAAATACATGAGTAAAAATCCCCAACTTTGCTGAGCACAGAGCAAATGCTTAATAGAAGCAATTGCCTTTCTTCTGTCTTCTCCCCGACAAAGGAAGGTAAAATTGTGCCATAAATGTTTATTTAGTCACATCCTGTCTCACTGAAAGCAATACACTAAGTCATAGGAGCGACTCAGTGACTCTGGAAGTGATAACACCATCCCATCTGAGTCCCCAACTCTCTCAGCTTCCTGAGGAGAGCCAGCCTGCAAGTGGATCTCATTCCTTGGGCTCAGAAAAGAACAGAATGCAAATTCCCAGCTCTGCTGCACAGACAACTGTGCAAACTTCCACCAGTTGCCCAGCCCAGCCGCGCCTCAGCTCCCTCATCCGGAAAGAAGGACTAAGGTTGTGCATAGAAGCATCTGGCACACCTCCTGGCATATAGCAAATGCTCAGTTAGCACTTGCCTTCAGTGAGCATCAGGCTCAGTTCATAGCTGTTAATTGTGTAGTTTTTTGACGATGCTTAGGATTGCTTATTATTATTAATGTCATTATGACCGTTGCCTTGGGAACTATTATCCAAATGATATAATGCTGTGGGGACAGCACCGTTTCCCTGACAAGCTCTGAGGATTCTCAGTAGCTTAACGATGCACCAATAGAAAAAAAAATCACCACAACTGTTCTATAAATGCTGCTATTCTGTCCCTTGTCAAGAAAATGACACCTTAATATGGTTACATATGATCTGTTACCATAGAAATGCAGAGGACATTTTAAATATATTTAGCTTAATCTTTAATATTGCTTTTGCAGTTTCTGTGACCTCACAGCTACTTTCGCAATTGAGACCTTTGGAGTGATTCCCAGGTAATGGGTTTTTAAAAAAAATTTCTTAGTTATGTTTTGTTCTGTTGTTTTTTATTTGTTTTGTTTTGCTTTGCATGTTTGAGACAAGATCTCATAGCCCAGGCTGCCCTGGATTTCATGATCCTCCTGCCACAGCATAAGGCCTGGGAGATATGGTTATGTTGTTCAACATAACCTGGGCGTCTAGGGAAACCACAACACTACAGCAGACTGTCTGGGCAGATCCTAAGACCCCAGATAGAAAACAACTCTTAAGTTTCTGGTCTAAGAAATAAATCCCCTCTCACGAAGGCATCTACACAGATTCCCAGGTGAAAAGACAGATGTTTGTTAGCCAGTCCACACACACACACACACACACACACACACACACACACACACGCCCTCATACAAATTCACACATACTCAATTACCTCAGTGTCAATATGTCCCAAAGTAAAACCAGACATATTCACCGGGCTCTGAGCCTGGCATGGTGGCAGACAACAGTAGTCCCAGTTACTCTGGAGCCTGAGCTAAGAGGATCACTTGAGCCCAGGAGTTCCAGGCCAGCCTTGAGCATGTTGCGGCCCAGTCTCCCAAAGGCCCTTCCTCTGAATTTCCTGTCAGTGAGTGATGACTAACCCCCAACCTTGGTGAATGTTTTTATTCGTTCACATTCCTTAAGTGCCACATCTTAACATTACCAAGACAAATCCAGTCTAACTTGTAAATATATCTGGGACCTAGCCACTCCATCTCTTCACCCACATCATGGCTTACCTGGATTATTACAAATACCTCCAAACTGGTTTTTCTGCCTTGGCAGAGCTTCCCTTTCACCCTTTCCTCACAGCACAGTCAGAACTATCCTTGTAAAATGCCCATCCTGTTTCACACCTCTGAAACTCCTTGCCTTTTGGCTAAGCTCCATACTCTGACATGATGTAAGCTCTTTTTCATCTGACCCCTACCCACCTATCTTCTTTTTTCCCCCCCTCAGTACCAGAGATCAAACCCAGTAGAGCTTGGTAGACAAGGGCTCTATCGCTGAGCCACATCTCTAATTCCCCTGCATCTATCATTCCTTTTTTTCCCCCTCAGGGGTGGGGAATGGTTTTGAGACAGGGGTTCCCTATGTAGCACTGACTAACCTGCAACTCCCGTATCCAGCCTCCACCTCACAAAGATCTGCCTGACTCTGCCGCCACACCCAGTGCATTCCTCATTTCTAACTGTGCTGCCTAGCTCTGGAGTTCCTGTCACACTGAACTAGGTTCAGCTCCCCAGTGTCCAGGATGGACCTCAAGGTTTCTTCATGCTGCCCTAACTTTGCTCCTGTATCTCCCTTTGCATCTCTACTGAATTCAATCTACCTTCTCTTTTGGAGATCACACCTTTCTCCTCCCTGGTCAGCCTCAAACTTAACTGCCCTTTGATAGATGCTCTGTCTTATTCCAGCCATTCACATATAGTTTGATTGAGTAAATTAGCAGCCACGGTGTGAACAATGGCTTCTGATGACTGCTTTGTTCTTATTGCAGACCAAGTGCCTACCTAGTCATTGCTTTCCTCTTTGTCCTGTTGCTACTGTTCATCAGCATTCTGGTTCTGAGCTACTTCTGGTACATGAAGATTTACAGACAACTTATTAAGGAACCACTTCACAAACCTCCCAATAAACAGAAGAAATATTAGGAAAATGGAGACTTATTAGCTATACATATATAGATAGATAAACAGAGAATGCATATATATGTGTGTATAGTGAAAGTATGTGTTCAATTAAGAATGTTAAATATAAGCTCATACTATTATTAAATTCAAGATCTGGAAGTGTTCTTAAATTGCTCCCCAACAAATATACATAACAACATGTTTATTATTGCGTTTTGATTCATGTTAAAGATACACCTGTACTGTTACTCTGCATTTAAAAAACAAAAATAAGCTTTCTTTTGCTGTTATAATCCTAACAATGAACGTTTATGAAAATGAATCTGTCAAATATTATTGTATCAGGAAGTTTTCATATGGAACCTTGTATGGATGTAATTAATTATGTATAAGGACTTAATAAAAGTATGTTCATTTAAGTAATCTGTTTTTAAACAGATTTCAGAAGGCTTTCTAGTGGTAGGTTCACAATGAAATATAAAAGTTATATTGAGGGGCTGGAGAGATGGCTCAGCAGTTAAGAACACTGGTTGTTCTTACAGAAGACCCAGGTTCGAATCCCAGCACCCACATGGCAGCTAACCATCCAGAACTCCAGTCCCAGGGGATCTGACAGCCTCTTCTGACCTCTGTGGGCATTGCATGACACAGGTGCACTTACCTACATGCAGGCAATACACCCATAAACATAAAATAAAAATAAATAAAATTTAGCTGGGCGTGGTGGTGCACACCTTTAATCCCAGCACTCAGGAGGCAGAGGCAGGCAGATCTCTGTGAGTTTAAGGCCAGCCTGGTCTACATAGTGAGTTTCAGGACACCTGGGGCTACAGGGAGACCCTGTCTCAAAAAGACAAAAAAAAGAAAAAAAAAAGTTATATTGAAAATGAGGCAGCTAATACTGTTTTCATTGTTTTAACATTTGATTTTGATGCTCAAAATAAGCTTAATTTGTCCACATAACTATTTTAACTTTTAAATTTTATGTATTTTTCGCATGTGCGTGTGTGTGTGTGTGTGGTGTATGCATGTGTGGTGTATGCACGTATGTACACGTACATATATCTGGGTATGTGCACATGCAGAGGCCAGAGAAGGATGCCAGGTATCCTCTTCTGTGGTCATCTACCTTATTCCCTTGAGACATGGTCTCACTGAACCTGAAGCTTATTATTTCAACTAGTTTGGCTGGCCAGCAAGCTCTCAGGATCCTCCTGTCTCTGTGCTCTCCCCACTCCCCACAGTGCTGGGATTGTAGGCATGAGCAATCATGCCTAGCTTTTACATGGGTGCTGGGGGTTCTAACTCAGGTCCTCATGCTTGCACAGCAAGTGCTCTTACCCACTGAGCCATCTCCCTAAGCCTTATTGTAACTTTCTAAACAATTAGTATTTGAATAGCCAGGGTTTAATTGGAGGAGCAGAACCAGCAGGGAGTGTGTGTGTGTGTGTGTGTGTGTGTGTGTGTGTATGTCTGTGTGTATGCCTGTGTACAGATGCACACATGTGTGTGTCCAGAGATATTGAAACAAAGAATTGGCCCATGTGATTTGGAAACTGAAGCAAATCTGAAATCTACAGTGTAGGCAATCAGGGATGGTGGATCACAAATGAAATGAAACTCTGCACAGCAAAGTTGCTGTCCACAAGGAATTTTTTTTTATGCATATGAGGGTGTATGTGAGTGTATGTAAGTGCACCCATGTTGTGCGCCTGAGTGATGTAAGTGCACCCATGTCATGCAGTGCCCATGGAGGTCAGAAGAGGGCACTGGATCCCCTGGAACTATGGATGGTTGTTAGCCATTATATGGGTGCTGGGATTCGAGCCCAGGTCCTCTGCAAGAACAGCTAGTGCTCTTAACCGTTGAGCCATCTCTCCAGCCCTAAAATATTTTATTAGTTTTTTTTCATATGTATGAGTGGGTTTTTTTGCCTGCATATATGTGTGTGTGTGTGTGTGTGTGTGTGTGTGTGTGTGCATCACATGTGTGCAATGCCCACGGAGGCCAGAAGAGGGTGTCAGATCCCTTGGAACTGGAGTTACTGATGGTTGTTAGCTGCTATGTGGATGGAGGGAACTGAACCCAGGTCCTCTGGAAAAACAGCTAGTGTTCTTAACCGCTGAGCCATCTGTCTGGCCCCAATACAAGGAATCTTTTACTAAAGTAAAATCAGAAATAGAAGGAGGAATCTGTTATTCCTCACTGCTTTCAAAGTTTTGAGATAATGAGAAAAATATAAATAACCAGTGTAGACATAGAGAGAAAAAACAAGGCAAAGTCTCCCTGTAAATCATAACATTATATGCCTATTGCATTTGCTTTATCATCTCTGTGACCAAATACCCCACAGAAAGAATTTGAAGGAGGGAAGACTTGTTTTACTCATGATTTCAGAGGTTTCAGTCCATCATGGCATACAGGAAGCAGAATAGTAACTGAAGAGGCTCCAGCAAGATACAACCCACCAGGGACACACACCCCTGTGATCTACTTCCTCCAACCAGGCCCTACCTTCCACAGATCCACCACCTTCCACAGTCTATTCAAATTTGACTCCATCAATGGATTCATTCATTCATTAGGTCAGAGCCCTCATAATCTAATCACTTCTAGGAACACCTTCACAGACATGGGGTGCCTTTTACTAATCTCCTTGGCATTTCTCAATTCAATCAAGTTATACCTACAAAACTCAAAAGTCATGCTTTACCAGAGCTGCAGAAGGTTATAGGAGAAGCTGCCCTTCTAGAAACCAGGGCCCCACATAATCATAGTGAGAGAGGGGATACAACCAGCAGGGGATTGTGGATAAATAATACAACATGATGAAATTGTCAGCCTATAAGTATGATGGTTACGTCTTTTTTTTTTTTTTTTAAGTATGGGAAGGAGTCCTGACACAGTTGTGCCAGTAAAAGTCATAGTCTCTTGCAAAGTCTCTAGACTTGCATAAATGTTACGATCCAGAGTTCATTGACTGGAGAAGTGACTTTTTTCCATAGGGAAAAAGATCTCACACCACTACAGCAACTATATACTATGACAGTTCCCTAAGAGACCCACAACCACTTATTCAGGTGACTGTGCTTGGGACAGAGGAATAAGATTTTTTTTTTTTAGGAATATGATACACAGAGACATTAGTTATTGTAGAGTAAGGCCCCATGGTAGTGTTGTATGACACTATTGCTGGGGAGACAAATGTCTACTCCACCCAGGTAGGGAACCAAGGATAGACCAAAGTAAGGATACCACCAAAATTAAACTTGATGAACCAATGATTTTTATTGGATTACTTACAGGAGTAGAAATGATTCAAAGACAGCTACATCACCAAAGCCCACCCCAGCATGAGTAACAACTCAAGCCTGGAGCACATGCACAACTTGCAGGCAGCTCAACAGACTGGAAAGTGTCCTTTCCAAGAAGCTAGGCTTATTTGCGAGTGCCTCTAAGCAGTCCTTAGGGCTTACAGAGCTTGGGGACAGAAGGGCCTAGTGAACCTGGTCTATCTCTGAGACTTCCTGAAGCCAGTGAGCTGTTTACTTACTGAGCTTAAAGAGCTTTCTTTCTGGTGGAATTTTTTAAAATTTATTTACTAATAACATGATTAGAAGAAGCATTTCATTACAGCTTTAACATATTCAATAACAATTTCCACAGCAAAGGTACATCTCTTTCAAAAGTGGCTGTAAATATTTTTAGGTTCACAGTTGAATTAATACAGTTATACAATATTGAACTCAGTACAAACCCTATAAGACATAAAATTGAAATTTTTTTTGTCTTTTTGAGGCAGGGTCTCCCTGTAGCCCCAACTGTCCTGGAACTTGTTATGTAGACCAGGCTGGCCTTGAACTCACAAAGATCCTCCTGCCTCTGCCTCCCAAGTGCTGGGACTAAAGGCATACACCATCATGCCCAGCCTGAGTTTTTAACCTTTAAAAAAGATCTCCATTTCATTTTTAAATATATTGTTTCTTACAGAAAGACTCATTTTTAATGCTACTAACACTTAGATGTTTGCACATGCATTTCTAATCTCTATGTATCTGATTATTACTAGTCACAGTCAGTTACACTTGGATCCTTGGCACCTGAGTATGGATATAAAGTCATCAGCTAGATTTCAATGGTAATGTTTATCACCTCTACTAATTAACATGAAGTAAATTTTTATGTTTCCTCCTCAAATATAACTCATTTTTAAAATTTGTTGATTTTTTGGGTGTGTGTATATCATACAGAACATCCCAAATAATCTTATTCATCTACATACCCACTTCCCAAATGGCACCCTCCCATAGCGCCCCCCCCCACCACTGGAGCCCACATACTCTGTCATCCCTGTTACTGTCCACTGTGTTGTCAGTGGCTGATGGAATGTTTTACTTCTCTTCAAAACATTGTTGCTTACTACCCTTTAGAACATCTTGTTGTTTATTGAGCTGCCCTCCAAGATGGAGGATTTTAACTGGAGGAAATTGCTACACAAACAGATAGTCACAGTGGCCCTTCTCCTTCTGGGTTCTTTTCCCAGGCCCCAAGCACAAAAGCAGAACTGATACAGCTGTCAATTGGAATAAAGTCATTATGGATGGTCTGGTCTGTCAAGTGGGGGCAATCAGAGTGGGGAGGGCCAACGGAAGTCTCTGATATTACTCCACATACACAGACAAAGAAAATGAATATTCTTTTTCAGTGACTGAGGAGAGGGTAGCAAAGAAAACGGGATCCAAAGCAAAAAAGGCTCCAAAAGCAGTTCATATTCACATAGACAATATTTAATTATCTTCCTGGTCTCTGGAATTCCCATGTTTACAGCTTCATATAACATATGGTCTGGTCATGGTATCTGAGATACAATGCTATGGTAGGCCCTGAGTTCCACTGTACCATTAAGAATGAAGTAGTCAAAGGCAAACCTGGTGGTACACACTTTTAATCCCATTACTTATGAGAGAGGTGGAGGCAGGAAGATGGGACATTCAAGGTCAGTCTCAGCTGCATAGTGAGACCCTGGTTCCAAACTAAGCAACATTCACCAGGGCAGGTGATTGAAGCCATTACTGCCTCCAAGTAGCAGTGACTGACAACCTAAGCAGCCTCTGCAACTATTATCAAAGACGTTGCCAATCTCTTTCACTTCCATCTGGACAACCTGGTACAAT